TAGGGGCATGTCTGTATGCGTGCTATAATTCACATTAGTGTATTTTAATGCTCATTAAAGTGCCACTAAAAACCTGTGCTATTTAGTTAATACACATTAAAATAGGCTAATGCGCATTAAGCATAATTTAAAAGTCTTGCTCTTTAGTTAATGAGCATTAAGACAGGCTAATGTGCATTTTCCTGCTACTCACAATGGAGGTACTAGATTTGATGTGCATTAACTAAAGCGCGTTAATGCATGTGTAAACATGCCTTACATGTTTAATTTGAAGCACCACCATTTGAACACTAGACTATGACTTTCAAAAGTATTCAAACAATGTCACTTTGTGTCAACTGTAACCATCCTGTTTTCAGAAACAAAATGCAAATGCAGACAACGTGGTTAAACAACTTAGGTGTCAGACACGTGCAAGTTGCGATTATTTCTTCTGCTCGACTAAGGACTGGGCAGTTTAGTACATCTATTTGTACTAGACTATCTCTTCCTCAGATAGCTCTCACTGACCAACTCATGTTTCATCCACCTATTACATCTCATCTGTCAGACTGTGAATCGTTTAGGGCAGGGACTATGTTAGTCTAACAAGGGTGGCCTCCAGGTGCTACAACCATATAAGTCACAGAGACTTTTCATTTATAAACTGACACAAAGCCCAGATTTCCCAGGAAAACGTTGCTCAATAACTACCAGACAGTGCCTTTAATCAAGCCCCTGGAAAGATACACATTCAAAATTGAACAAAATACCTTTAATTAGTGTTCCCCACCCCACTGGACCATTCAGAAAACAATTAATCAAGGCTCTATAACCTTTGTAAAACACATATGGATACGACAACCAAGTTAACCGAACTTTAGATTAACCAGTTAATAATCTGGTTCCTGTTAACTAAACGAAAGGAATATATTTGGGGTAGCTGGAAAAAACAAAAACAGCAACAACTCCAAACAAAAAACAACCACAGCTTACAGGTCTATACCCTATTAATTAACACAGACAGCCCTGACAGGCAGCATAACTGGTGCCTGTGGGTCTCATGCAGCCTGCAAGAGGTTAAACTGCAGCCCCCAAAGCTCCCATCCAGCTACCACTCCTTCATTGTTCAGGATCCAGGAGCAGCTGGGAGCTCCAGTATTTACTTCCTTGCAGCTTCTACCTACCCTTGCCCCAGGGTGCAGAGTGATACAGCTTTCGGTACAAGAGGAAGCCTGCAGCCTGGGGTACCCATGTAGTGCAGTGCAGCAGGGAAGCAACCAGGAAGCTAGTGGTGAGCAAGAGCACATGGTGCAGTAGGAAGAAGCAATAAGGAATTAACTGGTGCAATGGGGAGGGAGATGCAGCCCTGCGGTGCATGGTCCCAGATGGTGCATCCCTGGGCCATTAAGAGGTTGGGCAGCCCCATTTTACATAGTTGCCTACTTTAAAAACAGACATGGTCACCAGTTAACTGAGAAATATGCGTATCATGCATATATAGAAGTCACTTCTCCCTTTAATTTTTGCCCCTTAAACTAGAAAATGGTTTGTGGTGGATGTGTAACACAAGACCAAGATTTGACCTCCAAACTTGAAATTTAATTTTTATAAGTGATGGCTGGATTTTTATTTTCCTTCTTCAACATTAAAGTTCTTAGTTTTTCCTTAGGCACTCTTAAGTTCTTAGATTTTTCATTTTTTTTCTACGACAAAGTTTTGCTGTTTTTGAGTGTGATCAGAAACATGCTGTATTATGTGGAACATCCAAAAGCAACCCACTTGTATCATCACTGGCACTCAGAAGTGCTAGAAAAAACACAGCAGACATGAAGGAAAACAAAAACAGAATAAAAAAGTTTCCCAAAGGCCTAGTTTGGGAATGCATCCACACCAGCTCATTTTAGATGCCAGCTGCGTTATCTTCCTTCTCCAAAATTAATCAAAAGAAGTACCACTTCTGCATTACATGGGGGGAAAAAAAAATGGTTCAAAATAACCTTTTGTCCAGTAAATGTGTAGAAAAGGACAATTTTTTTTTTTTTGCCATTTCCCAGTTGGTCTAATAAAAGGTATCATTTTGGAACCAAGAGTTCTAGTTTTTTGTATATCTGCTTAACTTGGGGAAGGAAGCACAAGGGGAAAATATATTCTTGGAAATGCTGCAGATGCAACCCTTTCCAGTCAATTTTAGAAGTCAGACTGCAAGGTATATAGTTGTAGGTTTAATCAAAACCCAGAGTTTACAAGTTGCTTGAAATTCCTCTTCTACAACACATTAGATAACAAAGAAAAAGAGCTTTTTAGCTGTTCTTTGGAATTCTTGCTGTCTTAACAGTTCAAGTTTCTCTCTTCCTTGATCATTTACATAGTGTAATAGAATGGAAACAGTAATAGAGTGATTGTTCAGAAAAAGAGCTGAAAACAAACAAATAAAGCCTGTTCAAATAAAAAGTGGAATAGGAATGTTATGTAGAAAACAAAGTGAAATGAGAGTCAGACAGACTACAGAAAGAGGGAAAAAGAAACGGGTTCAATTCCTTCGGTAAAAAAAGAAAAGCATTGTAAGTAATTTCTGTAGCACAGGAAGTCTTACAACCAGTAAGGGACAGAGTTGGGGGTGGGTGGGGGTGAAGATAATAAAAAAACCCAGACTTTGAATCTCAGCATTTATGATAATACTTTGTATTTATTATGAGTGCTTTACAGCTCATTTAATCTCAACATCCTGCCAAGTAGTTTTATGGGCAGAAAAACAAATGCAAAGAAGTCAAGATTTCCAAAAGTGGGTGATTAAGCTTAGTCATTGAAGTTAACAACAGGAGATGTCAAGCACTTGGCATTTTTTAAAAATTAGGTCATGTAAGCATGGATTTTACGAGCTGACCTTAATAACCCCTTTTGAAAATCTTGGTTTAATTGACCTGACTAATCCTGACCATAGATTTTGCAGGTCTCCCTAAGCTAAGGTTATGATTTAATCATCAATCCCATCCCTTTTATTTCAGAATCTTAATTTACCAAAAGGGTACTCAGTGGTTTTTAGGATTAACTGACACGCTGGTTAGTTAAACCCCTTAAAAACACTATTACCTCATGATACAATCCCAAAAGCAATCAGTCATCCAAGATGAACAGAGGAAACAGTTCTCAAACAAGACTGCATACTGTACTTTATTTTATAGCCAAACAACAAAAACAAAATAATTAATAAAAACTGTTTTGAAGCGGATATTTGTATAACATTCACTTATTCTGAGCTGTAACTTATACATTCTAGAGCACGTACAATAACAACGCCGTATATTCTTAACTGGGTTTCACTAAACACCTAATTAAAGAACCCATATAGAGAGTCAGGTACTCAAAAACTCATTTACATCACTAAAGCCAATACCAAATGAAGTGAGCAGAAGAAAGTTATGATATTCTAAAAAACTGTTTGTCTGGTTTTTGTTGTTTTGTTTTTGCCTTTATCATGAGCTGGCTAAGCCCAAAGACAAGGCAGCTACACTGACCAGCTAAAATGTTATCACAGAATAGAAAAGAAAGAAAGTTCTGAAAATAAGCTCAAGTAATCCTTAGCTACACTTTCATGTACCTGAAGGATGAATGCTCCCCATGTACTGGTAAGGTGAGGGGAGGAGCTGGAGACTGGATGTACATAGACTGGCCAGAAGACTGAGAGCCCTTTCTGATCAGCTTTCCAGTGTTGGGATCATAAAGCCGAACTTCAGGACCAGGCTGAGACTTTGGATGGATAGGCGTTGGGTGAAACAAAGCTGTCTGGAACGCACTGTGTGCATCAGGAAACACAGCAGGACTGTTCTCTCTGTCGGATAAAATTTCAAAACCATTTAAATGTAGCGTTTGTAACTGGAGTTACATTAATATTTCTCTTGCAGAGAAAGAACACACCAGACTTCTTTAAACTTGAAGCATTGGAGCTGTAATACAGTTTGTTACATGCCAAATTGAATCTGCTTGCTTTTTTGCGTAAGCAAGTTATTTAAGAAAGATCAAGGATCTACACTTCCAAATGCATATAAGAAAGCTGCACTGAATTTACCATAATATGTACATAAACAGACAATTACTATAAAACACCAAAATGTCACTCTCAAAATCTCTCTTAAAAAGTTTACAAAGTTACTGAAACAGTTCTGTTAAATATAATATACCATTTAAGCCAGGAGTGTCAAAGACAGCCCATGGGCTGGATCTGGCCCATGAAGCCCTATGATTAGAGCCTGGTTTAAATCAAGATTTCATATTTCTCGTAAAAAAAAAAAAAAAAAAAAATTAAGTGATTTTCATGAAAAAACAATTTGCAATAAAATGCCACAATATGGCCACTTGCTGAGGAGTTCCCCAGCAAGTGGCCATGTCATGGCATTTTGTTGCAACAGGATGGCTGCTGCTGGCTGAGGAAAGCATTCCTCAGCCAGCAGCAAAAGTCTAGCAGCCCAGGGGAGGGGGGGGAAGGGGTCACAAAAGTGACAGCAGGAGGAAGGAGCTTGGGGATGGGCTGTTTGTTCCTTCAAGTGGGAAAACTGGGGCACCAGGGGTTGGGGGCTGCCTTGGCAGACAGCCTTGGCACCAGGTAGGGGAGAGGCTGTTTGCTCCTAGGCAGGAAAACTGGGGTACTGGGGACTGATAACACATGTGCCGAGAAGCAAATAGCCCCTCCTCTACCCAGTGCCAGGGCTGTCTGCCAAGGCTCCCGCCAACCTCCTGCATCCCAGTTTTCCCACCTGGAGGAGCAAACAGCCCCTCCCCTCCCCATCCCCAAGCTCTCTCCTCCTCTTCCTCAGCAATGATCAGAGGAGCAAGGCCTCTGCTGCTGCAAGTAAACCTGGCCCCAAACCTGCCCCCTCAGCCAACTGGGGGGAAGGAGGGTGCGCCATGATCTGGGCATGAAAATAGTGGCCCCTGCCATGACTTGGCCATATTAGCAAGCATTGCCTGCAATTTAAACCAGACCGTGCCAATGAGCTGGCCTGTGGATCTCAGACCAACCCTATGTAAGGCATACAGCATGCACTGACCCAACTTCAAGGGCACTGCATGAACACAGGGAGCTAGTCTGGGGTATGAGCTTCATGCAGTGCCTATGCCAGACAGGTACCTCCTTTCAAATTATGATGCATCATGACAAACCTTATTTATGGTGCAAGTTTAATCCACATGCTAAATTACTCCATACTTTCAGTCCACAGGTTATACATTGCACAGACAGAGCTCAACCTCTATCACAGATTTTGATAACCCTTTAGTATCTTTCTTTAAAGACAATTCCTAGGTTTCTCTCTCTTCAAGTTGTTACCCACCCTGCCTCCATTCTCTGTGTCCCTTCTTCCTTCAATTTGTTCTATTAATCTATTTCTTGTCCAACCAGTTTCTTCCTATGATTCAAGAGTATTTGTTCCCTTTTTAGTTCTATTTCCTCCCACATTTTGCCCCCTTACATTCTGCTTCTGCCTCGAGTTTTTCTCCCTCATCTCCATAACTTCTCGTTGCTCAGATCCATTAACTAGGGCTTCTCCCAGCATGAAGTTTTGCATGTACATCTCTGCTCCTGGCCACTAATGATTTTCAAAAGCATACCATCAAACCTAATGAATTAGTGGCAGCCATGTGCAGCAGCCTCAAAGAATTACTTGGGCCAGAAGCTTTCTCCAGCTACAATAGATTGTAATGTTTCCTCTAACCTTCCAAGGGACAGCTCTGCATTCCTACAGCTGAAAGAAAGAGTTACCTTCATGAAAGCCCTGAACCTTGCGGACTATTTAAGGTTTCTTCTGTGCTATCTTCTCTATAAAGTAAGAACAGATCAGTATAACCATGAGCAACACATATTTGGTCCTTTCAACCCCCTCCCCCAAAACATGTTTACCTGTGTGCTTTGATGTAATCATCCTTCAAAGGAAAGAGTTGCTCTTCTACTTTGTCCCAACGCTCCAAACAGCTCCACAGCCAATCAGGGTTAACAACATGGAGATCTTTGCAGTCCTGAGCTTGCCGTACTTTTTCTGTGCCTATTATGAAGTCAAACAGAACAACATTACAGTGTTCCGAGTGGAACAGAAAGCAGCAGTTTAGGTGCACTGTAACAGGCAATTGGCTATACTCACACAACTTGCAGGCTATGTAAAGATAAAAAGTCACATTATTCACACTGCACTAGGAATACTATTTTGTAAGATCCCCAGCACCATTTGTACTTCATTAGCATTCTGCTGAAATTCACTCAAAATGGGAAGTACAACCAATGACAACTGTGAAAACACGCACACGATCAGTATGGAGTAAATAAGAAAAGTAGGAAAAAATATTTGAGTGACACATTCCCAAACTTCCTTCTGTATAAAATGTATCAGTCTAAAGCAGGGGTGGCCAGAAGCAGCTGCTTCAATACTTCTAAAAGCACAATAAGTTACTTAACATTCACAAGTGCAGTTGAGACTGAGTATGACAGTCAAAGGCAAAGCCACCCCCTTTCATTTGCCAGAAGTTTGGCACTCATAAGGCAAAAAAACAGAAGCATGGACTATTTAGCATAAAAAATAAAATTACACAGAAAAGATCAACAAAGAGTTAGCATGCACTCTAGGCAAATCTGTAAGCAATGGAAAGAAAAAGTTTCTCTGAAGAAATGAGGTCCGAAAATGTATTTCATAATGCAGCATGTAACTAAGCAAAACCTACCACCACAAAGCAAATCACCTAAGAGCAAAAGAGCAAGCAAAGATCTGACAGTTCTTTGGCGAGATCTCTAACAAAAACTATACCACTATCATGTGCAGAAATAATGCAGCCTCAAAAATATATGATGAAAAAACTAAAGTAGAAACAGGAAGCACCCTTTAAACTCAGAGACAAATAAGTCTGCAACAAAGGTGACTTGAAAGAGAACAAGAGACTTTCTACTCCAATGTCCAATATGTGAAGGAGTAAAAGTATGGTATATATATATATATATATATATATATAT